AAATAAATCAGAAAAAATGGTATGTTGCTGCCATTTTGAAACGATTAAAGATCACCGAAGTAATGTCTAAACCCAATGATTAAAGGCAAGGATAAAGGATCCCCTCAACAAGTAAAAATCTTTTTCAATTGTCTCAATAACTAAACTAGATCAGAATGAAGAATTGAAATAGATTCTAAAGGAGACAGGCATTGGTTATTATCTTTCTTGGGCAATATACTTCCATCTAAAATCTCTCTTTATCAGGCAAAAAAGAATAAAAAATAAAATCGTGATGCTTATATTATTTTAAAAAATTTATTACCATATATTTTTTTTTCATTTGGATCTAAATCATGATCTAATTATTTTCATAATTTCTATTTCAGGCTTAGGGATCGGCTAGTTAAAATCATTACCGATTACAGGACGGAAACGAGTCTTAGACATGGATGTAATGATATTTTGAAGGTATTTTCATGCTAAACAAATTTGCTGCATCACTAGAACTGAACCTTGTGCTTGCAGATAGTAATGGGTGATTTTCCACAGGCTGACACTGTGAATCTACTGGTTAAGTACTACAATGAGGCCAGACATGGAATTTACTTGAGCAACGAAGAAGATGAAATACGTGGGAAAAGAAGCGAAAATAAGGTTTTTCAATCTATTCAGGAATCTGTGAGTGCTAGAATGATGGAGGTCAAGTCGAAAACTCGGGGAGGCGCTCGATGCTGCATATGTTTTGATCCCTTTTCTATACAAAATATGTCAGTCATTGTGTTCTTTTGCTGTCATGCATACCACGAGACTTGTCTTATAGAATCTACTTCCAATCTTGATGCTAATAAAGGGAGTGGAGAGACTCGGCATGATTCGACTTCGGACTTCGATTATGATAACGGAGAATTTGAGGACGACGATGAGGATGATACAGATGCGGGCGGTCCTAGAATGCGTTGTATCTTATGTACTACTGCCGCCTCCAAGAGTTGAAAGCACTTTGTATGCATATTTGGGGTCATGGTTTTCATTATTTTTCTTCTTTGGGCTTCCTCTCTAATGCGTTCATCATCATGCGGGTATGTACAGGCTATCTATCTACCATCCCTTGCTTGTATTGTCATTTATATTTCTTTATCTATGTTCGTATAATTAAAGGTTAGAAGATTTTGTTTTGATGGTTGTAGTGATCTTTTTTTTCTTTTTCTTTTTTTAATACAAAGCTGTGTTATGCTCGGGTTCGGAGTTGAGATGTGTGAATATAAGTTGAGTTGGGTTGAGGGTGATTGACATTTGTATTTTACTATTTTTTTTTCCACGCAAGAATGACTTTTAACTTTTTGGAATGACAATAACACCGAAATCTTATTTGTGACAAAACATGACATTGAACTTTTGATCTTGTTATTATTATTATTATTATTTTGTATATTGTTAATAAATAAGCTATTACGTTGTAAAAATATTTCACTTCGACTAAAAGGTTAATGTTGAAAATATGTTCTGTAAAATCTAATATTCAAAATAATCTAAACTTTTTCGTCTGGGTTATTTTTTCTTTTTCTTTTTCTTTTTTGTCCATATTTTTATATGTTACGAAAATATCTGTTGCAGGTAACTCTGGCAGCAATTAATCAATATGCCAGTTAACATGAACAGGGTTATATATACAGTGATTTTAAAGTGATTAATGGAAGATCTTTAAAATATGCAATAAAAAATAAAATCATGTCAAATTATTAATATTATTATTTTTCTAGTATAATCAAACAATTTGTTATTTAAAATACTTTTGAAGAATGTTGTTATGTAACATTTTATTACTATCTTTTTAAATAAAGTGTTTAGAAGGTTGTCTAAACGGGGCTAGAAAATAAGGTTTGGCTTTTGGGCATCTAATGGAGTATATGCTGATTTGCTTGTGAGTTTCTTATGAGCTTGGCTAGTGGCCACTTATGTCGGTGGCTAGCCACTTCGAACCGAGCCGATTATGAGAGGGAGTAAGTAGCTCAAGGAGAAGAAGATATGTTCGGGTAATGGATCTTTATGTAATACAAATTTATTATTTAAAAAAAGTAAATTTACTTTTGTAAATTGACTTAGATAGATGTGTGAATTGAAGCGCACTCTCTTACTACTAAATTAAACGAAAATTAAACAATTTGCTTTAATAGGTCGAATAAAATCAAACCACTAAAAGAAAGCTCTTAATTGATGTAACAAAGGTAAGTAAGACTTTATGGTAGACTTTTGACCACTCACAAATTCTTCTTCTCATGATTCTTTCATGTAGCTGCTGGCCTCTAAGGCTTCTTCTTCATCGATAGTAACCAACAACCGTTACCGATTGTAGCATTGTTATTGGTTAAGAGGCTGAAAAAACATGAACAAATGGAGAGAGATATCCACGACTATCTACTATCTGCATATCACGATCTGATTTTCGAGCTATTCGAAGCATGGATCACGAAAAGACACATACATGAAGGTTCGCTTCTGAGAGTCTACATATCTTTGTGGTCTCTCGTCCCTCTCAAGACGAGTTCATGAAATGAGGATCCCATGTAGGTGTTTACTTCGATCCTAAAGCAGTCCCCTAGATAAACTGCTAGGTCATATAGTTGGCAATAATATCATGAGTCTAATAACATCCATGTTCAAGATTCAAATTAAGATTCGGAATCTAGATTCGGCCCCATGACAATCCCAACATTCTCCTACATTCCCTACGACATGGTCAGATTCCGCTATTCAGAACAAGGCCTCCACAAACTGAAGGGAAGAAAATATGAAATCATAGTGTACTGAATAGGTGGGAGGAGGAGGACTAGGATGACTTGGAGCACATACCACGCAAGGTTGGGTCTATTATGTGGAGTAGTACTTTGCTATTTGGCGTTGTATTAAGTTTGTGGTCCTCGTTGTGCCTTGTTCTGGGAATCAGTCTACTTAGCTTGGCTATACCCTTAGAACTAAAAGGTAGACATTCTACATAATTCATATTTACCCTATTTAAAAGCATGATATCTAATCTTTTTGTCTATTCAAGTCAAAACGCGATTGGCGTACGAGTCAAAGGTGCCCTCATCAAGTCCCGGGCTCTAGGGTGGATCGTACAAGTATGGATCAAGTATCCCTATTAGCAACCTTGCTATGGTCTCCCTAATAGGTTCCATACGTGTCTACTCCTAAATGTTAACTGGAAGCTCCCGCAGTGATACCTGACAGGTTCTATATCCTGTCATTCCAGGCTCTAAATAGTACAAGACAAACTCCCTCTTAAGCATAACTAAAACTCTCTCAGTAGTACCCTCTAATGTGCCAAAACTCTAAATGAGTGCGTTGCATTCCTCTATATTAGACAAACCTTCATTAGTCGAGATAGGCTCACGATAAGGTGTTGTGTTCTAACTGTCCCTACATAGTAGTAGTCAATTCATACCATTATAAACGATTCTAAATGTGGCTCAAGAACCAAAGCATAGCAAAACATAGGCTAAGGCTCACTAAACAGGAGTACAATACTCTAGGACACAACATTATAATCCAATCAAGCAATCATGGGCATAACGAGGTATTCCAACCTCCTAACATGCTTTCTCGAGAATCTAAACAAGAAAATTCTCCTAATAACATGCATATCAACCTGATAGATATGTTCGTACTTTGCTAGAATCACAACAAACCATTCAAAACAATCAAAATCAAAATCAAAGTAGCATAAGTCTTAAGAGCATAAGAGCTCAAATGAGATCTTTAATTTCTTGCTTTAATCAAGATATAACATGCTCATAGTCATTTTCCCTCAAGTCCTAGTTGATCCTACAAGTACCTCTTCAAGAAATGTTTAAGCAATTACTTACATGTTGGGAAGTATTTGGCAGCTTGATTCCGGAACTTTTCAAACTCAAAATTTCTTGAAATATTTTGGAGAAGTCCTTAAATGAGTCGAGGATCATAAATAACAAGAAATTCCTAAAACTCAACCCTAGTTCATGAAAGAGTTAATCTGGTTACTTATGTTCAAGCATACTCCAAACCTTGTCTATTCCAAACCTTGTCTAGCATGCCTCAAACATCCAATCTTGTTTCAAAGCTATCATGTATCAAGATTTGGTTTTGGACTTGACATGGCTCCAAATCCTCCCTTGTTGAGAAACTAGGACAACATACAATCCCACTTGTATACGAGTCTTATTCTTATCTTGCAAGTTCACCATCTCATAGGAATTGTCATGGAGCCTAAGTTCAATCATAGCCCCTATTTAGTTCCTTCACCCACACAGGCTCTAGAAGTAGTACTTGCCACATCAAAAACAAGAACTTGTTCCAGCAACACGTGAGTAGAACTTGCCACATAAAAGATCATCTCACCCTTTACAATGAGTTCTTCGTGGGAGTTGGTTGAACACTTTCTAAGAAGGAATTAGTAGGTAAAAACACGCAAGAAAGAAGACCAGGGTCGAAGCTGGAAGGTACAGATCTTGAGTTTTTGTGAGTTTCAAATGTTAATATCTTGCTCGATTCTCCACGATACTTAACGATACTTGTCTCTATGGATTCAGCATGAGGAGCTCTACAAGATCAATGAAGGATACAAAAGCAATCAGAGCCTATGGAAGAAGAACCGATGAGAGAAAGAATGAGTTGGGCAACGTGAAGATGGATTGGTTTGAGTGAATCGGTCCGAACCCAATCTGCTTCACTAGAGTTTTAAAAAGTCAGGTGGTGAACATAAAATTTTGGAATAAATGGAAGTGAGGACAGGGACAAAAAAAGGCATGTCCATCTCTGCTTCACTCACTAACATTCCTTGGCCTACCCCTCCACTCATTAATCAGTTTAGTTTTTTAGATTTTGTTGAATAAATAAATAAATTAAACATTTGTTTTTATAAATTAATTTGGGTCAAAATGTGACCCACTTGCACAAGGTTCATATAACAATACATCCTAGGTTGTCCTTGTTCCTTGATGAGAATTTGCACATTAAGGTGGAGAATTTGCAACAACCTTAGCAATCATTGAAGGTGGAGAATTTTATCAATGCAAATAAACAAAACTGTACGAGACTTCAGAGATGCCAAAAAATAAAAATTCGAATTTGCACTCAGCTAAATAGGTAGAGCCTTGGAGGAAAAATCACAGTTAGAACTGTGGTAAGGTATACCATACTGCAGCTAAGAAATCACTTCATATTGGAGGAACTTTGACCAATGAACTGTAAGAACTAAAAAAGAGAACATTAGCAATAATGGGATGAGCTTGAAATACCTTATTTGCCTACCTTGTCTCCCTTGCTACTACAGTTTTGTTTTAAAGAAAGGCAGAACTGCAGTTTCCGACACCAACGAAAACGACATGAAAATCGAATGCCCAAGATCATAGAATTTCTGGGTGCTCAAAACTATGAAACACCAACAATATATGCGTTCCAAGAATCCTTTTGTTGAAAAGTTTCGACCTCCTCATATTTCACTTCACTTCCTGTGCCAAACCCCTCTATACTTCTAATCTCTTCGGTGTCCGGCATCTGCCGAATCCAAATGTGGATGGATCTGAATCCAGCCTCTTCCAAGCAGTCTTTGATCTCCGGTAATGACCACCTGTTCATATGTACAAAGATCATCTCAAAATTTTGGCCACTAGAAATGGTATAAAGAAATGGCTATGAAATTTAAACAACATATAGTTTCAAATTTTGGTATAGCAGTCGAGTTGATTATGGTTTACAAATATGGAATTTGATTTCATGGAAAAGAGAAAAGGTTTCCTTACAGTCTCCAGCTGTATGAAAATGCATGGCGAAGCTTCTTCTGCTGCTTCTTAAGATCAAAATGGAGGCTAATCCTCGTTTTACGTCCAACGATGTCGAACTCAGCTTGCTCCCAGATATACTGCAGTTTCTCCAAGAAATTAGAATGCAATATCTCCAAGAAACTAGAATGCATTTCATGTGAAGAAAAGAAAACAGAAATGGGGAAGATAAACAATGTTTGAATAGATGGCATTAATTTAGAAAGTGAACAGATCCGGTTAAATAAGGCTGTTATATGGAAGTATTTATGTTATAACTACGGCTATGAAGACCTCCACAATGAACATCTTCGAATTGAGGTGAAAACAATATAGCAAAACTATTGAGAAAGGAGTGTTTCTAAATCCTTGCATTTCTAGTGGGTATACATGTAACAGCCCAAGCCCACCGCTAACAGATATTGTCCTCTTGGGGTTTTTCCTTCCGGACTTTCCCTCAAGGTTTTAAAACTCATCTATTCCGAGAGGTTTCCACACCCTTGTAAGAAATGCTTCGTTCCCCTCTCCAACTGATGTGGGATCTCACAATACGTGCCCCTATAGAAGGTGTTGAAAAGAAGAGTCACTGCCCTTTCTGCCTACTGATCTGTAATCAATTTTACAAATTTCTTGAATGGAGAACTCAGCCTATCAAGACAAATGATCCAAGTTTCAGCCCCATCAGTTCAGTCATCATGGATTTTGAAGAATATAACTAGACAACTACATTAGAGTACCACTGGGTCAGGTAAATTCAACAATAGATGCCCATTGATATCATAGTCTTCCTTCTTCGCATAAGGCCTAGACATAATAAACTCATCATCTAGGCTAATAGTGAATTAAAATAAATTTTTGTTGCAGTACTAGCGGCCTCTTAAGAGAACCAAATACTGAATCAATGATGTCATTACCCGTGTTAAGAATTGTTGGGATGATCATGGGTTTATAAGTAAGGAATACATCTTCACTAATATGAAACCTTTTAGGGAAACCAAAAGCAAAGCCATGAGAGCTTATGCTCAAAGTGGACAATATCATACCATTGTGGAGAGTCGTGGTTCCTAACCCCCGCAGAACACATATAACTAGTTTGCTGATGTTTGAACTCAAAATAATAATAATAATAATAGTACCTTAAAATTAGCGAATTTCCTTTGAAGCTTCAACTTCTGTTCTGACGAGGTACCGCCATACAAATCCATGACAAATATCCCACCTTTTCTGGATAAGCTAGCACGGGCATGCTTAAAATACATAACAAGATCTTTACGTGAATGGAGACAACAACAGCTGTAGTTAAATGCGCACACAATATCTCTGGCAGGCAATGTAATGTTCCTCTTTATATAGTTGTTATCGTTAGAAGAGGCAGATTCCTCTTTCACAATGGATTTTGATGCACTGGCTTCGAGATTATCTTTGCTATCTTCCAATGTTAAATTTTCAATCAGCTCCTCCTCGGGCTTTGGATTGACAAGTCTGGCCTCAGAAGGATGCAGAACATTTCCATGAAAAAGAGAGATTCTTGAATATCCGTCGGCTCCAATTCGGTTAACATTGTTCTCCATGCACCACGTTAATGCCTCAAGATCAAGATCCAAACCTATAGCAGTCCTACGTGAATCATTTCGAAGCCATTCTATACTGTAGAAAGTAAATAAGTATCAGGTTTTTCATCCATCCAACTACAACATGATGACTCACAAGTAAAATATTGGCTCCATCTTGTTTATAAATAGAAATTGAAATGAACAATGAAGTCAAGTTTAGCTATTCTCAACCTATTCCATACCTGGTGGTCTCTATCTTTGAAAATAACTTGATCAACACACAGTATCAAAAATTAAGAATAAAAGTAGTTCGTTGTAACTGCCCAAGCCCCCCGCTAGCAGATACTGTCCTCTTTGGGCTTTCCGTTTTGGGTTTCCCCTCAAGATTTTAAAACGAGTCTGCTAGGGAGAGGTTTCCACATCCTTATAAAAATTGTTTCGTTCCTTTCTCCAACCGATGTGGGATCTCACAATCCATCCCCCTTAGGGGCCCAACGTCCTCGCTGGCACACCGCCCGGTGTGTTGCTCCGATACCATTTGTAACAGCCCAAGCCCATTGCTAGCAAATATTGTTCTCTTTGAGCTTTCTCTTCTAGGCTTTCCCTTTTAGGCTTTCCCTCAAGGTTTTAAAACATGTCGGCTTGGGAGAGGTTTCCACACCCTTGTATGGAATGTTTTGTTCCCCTCACCAACCGATGTGGGATCTCACATTCATGTCGATAAGGATTTAACTAGTGATTGTAATGACAAATAATCCTGATATGTTATCTTTTAAGATGCATAAATTCCAACAATGGAGGAGCCAAGGTAACAGGCTGTCACGGATTACACCATCAATACACATTACAAACATACAGTTTAGGAAAATTTAAAGGCAGCTTGATTTTCTAAAATACTTGTAGATATGTATTTTCATAAAAATAACTATAAATATATCGAAAAATACAATATTTTTAAAAGAATTCATTGATTATTCATTAACTTAATGACGTAATCAATACATTTTTTCATTTGATAATCAGTGATTTTATTTGATCGATGACCTACTAATTGATTAACTAGACATTGATTGATAAACTAAAATGACATTAACAATTATCGATGAACATGTGTTTCATTTTTTACATTTACGATGTATGCAACCACCCCTCAAGGAACAATTGGCTAATATCTCAGCAAGAAACAGTGGTGTACCTCAAAAGTGCAGTGCCACAAAAATCTTCTTGGAAATGGATCGGCTGCCTACCTCCCACGTACATTAAAAAAAACTTCTGCAAATAACTTATATCTCCTTTGGGTGACTGCAGAGAATAAACAAATTTCAGAAAACAGCCAAACCCCCACCGTCCTCTCAATTAGCAATACAATTCAAAGGTAAAAGAAAACACGCGTATACTCATCAGTTCAAATAATCAATGATCGTTTCTTACAAAGATTTCCAGATATCTAGCAATACAAGAAGAAGGCCCAAACCTGAACTGATTGTTGATAGAGTTGAAATTTCGAAGGAATATCCACTGATGAGCCCTCATTACTTGTTTCTTGTTCCTCCTCCTCCGCATCCTCCTCCACTTCTACTACTTCTTCTTCAACTTCTTCTTCTTCTACTGGATAGCTATGAAGATCACCATCTTCCGCAACATCTCCTTCTGAATTAAACTTGAAATCCCTACGGCGAGAATGTCCGTCGTGATGTTTCTGTTTCTTGTCTCGCTTTCCCATTCTCCCTCCGCCGCCGAACTCTCCGCTGGTTTCTCAAAAATGAATGAAGACTTAACAGTTTTTACAAATTTTCTACGCAAAACCTTACCTACCCCTAATTTTAAATCAACTTCGTTAAAGTCTCCTAATTAATTTAGTTTTCTTTTTATTTTAATAGATTTTTTAACTTAACTTTCCCCGCTTTTTAACTTGATTCAGGATTTTCCCCGAACAGTTCGGTAGATTCCCACGCGTTACACACCCGTTCGCCATTTTGTTCTGTTGAGATATATTATTTATGGAATATATCTTAGATATTATATCTTAATATTCTTCCATTTATGATTAGATTTATAGTATATTTTATTTTATTCTAGTATTTAATTATTTTATATTTTCCTCATTTGTACGGGCTTGTATCCTATTTAAAGGATATCAATATCAATGATAATACACACATTCCCAGTTATATTTTCTATCTCATTCTTAACATGGTATCAGAGCACCGATCTTGGTGTTCTTAAATATCAAAATTTCCTTTATGGCGGAATCAGCCAAATCTAGCTTCAAAATTTCGGATGTTGATTTAACACATCCGTACTATATTCATCACTCTGATCAGCCAGGATATTCACTTGTTCCAATCAAATTAAATGGAGCAAATTATCAATCCTGGAGGAAATCAGTTATGCATGCTCTTATTGCCAAGAAGAAAATTGGCTTCATTGATGGCACAATTGAGGAACCGTCCCAAGATGCAAATTCAACCGAATTCGAACTCTGGAATCAGTGCAACAGTATGATAATATCTTGGTTAACTCATTCCGTTGAAGCAGATATCGCTAAAGGCATTATTCACGCCAAGACAGCTCATCAAGTGTGGGTTGATCTTCACGATCAATTCTCACAAAAGAATGCTCCAGCAATTTTTCAAATACAAAACTCGATAGCAACGATGTCACAAGGAACCATGGCACTGTCAACATATTTCACCAAGCTCAAAGCACTCTGGGATGAACTGGAAGCGTACCGCACACCATTTACCTGTAATCAACGTCAAATACATATTGATCAACGCGAAGAAGACAAGTTGATGCAATTGCTCATGGGGCTCAATCAGTCTTATAAAACGGTGAGATCTAACATATTGATGATGTCTCCATTACCTAATGTGAGGCAAGCCTATTCATTACTTGTACAAGAAGAGATGCAGCGTCAGGTAACTTCCGAACCTACTGAGAAAATCTCGATTGCATCAG